TCGACGCTGGGGTGGCTGTGAGGGTGCCCCTGCACTCCAGGTGGGCGACGGAGTAAGACTCCAACTCAAAAGAAAAAGAAATATGGCAGGACACGTTCAAGAACCATATCGCTCCTGATTAGCAAGACAGGACAAGAACATAATAGAAGAAATCACGTGTCTGAAAACTGAACAGGGTGTGTCCATCCCAAGGGGTGGTGGTTAGCCATGGCAGCAAAGAACAGGAAACACCATCAAGGTCTGTCTAGAGGTACCAGGGTCATCCAGGGACAACTCAAAAAGACAGCGTCCAAACCACCCACCTCTGCACAGTCTCAGTTCCTTTAGCAGGGAGAAGTCATCATGGCTGCAGAGACCGATGCATCAAGCCATGTTGTCCTGATGCCACCAAACATTCCATTCATCTAACCCCTTGCTCTGATCAAGGAGCCCTGTGAGACTTGGCTCGCAGTGCCCGCCTGCTCTGAGAGAGTAAATATGCCAGCTATGTGGCCTTGGCGCGCTCCGAGTGCAGTGGCAGTCATGCTTCTCCTTTTCAAGAAACGAATAGATTGGCATTCTGGTTTTGTCAATGGCTGGACGAGGTGAGCCCACCCCAGGGGACAGGACCGACCTTTGATCCATGGGCAAAACGAGGCATGCAACCTTGCTCGGTTGACAGCTGGGTCCCAGGCCTTGGCGAGCGCGCCAACCCCATGCAGAGCCCAGCCTTGCCCTTCAAGACCCAGCCCAGGAGCGGCTTTTCCTCACCCCTGACACCTTCCAGGCTGGGCTGGCTTGGTGGCGACCCTCATCCCTGACCAGCTGGGACCATCCGTGTCCAGCACACCTCACCCAGAACCAGCCGCGTGCTTGCTAATTCCCTCACTGCCTTGGCTTTCTCATCTGCCAGGTGGTAGTGGTCGTAATCACCAGCTTTGTGGATGAGGTTCTGTGATCTTTAAGCACGCGGGCACCCTCCTTTCCATCAGCGTAAGGATAAACCGAGGCAAGGTGGGTCGATGCCATGGGAATAAAGCAAAGAGTTGCAAAAAGAAACAGAATTTATTATCCACTTTCCACAGACAGAAAGGGGCAAAAACTCAGACAAGCGTGACATAGGCTTTAAGAGGAGAGGGCTTTGAAAGTTTCTATACAGAAGCAGGGCTAGTAATCATCTCCAGCAACTGCATTCTTGGGTATCCATGACATTAGCTTTGCTTTCTTTGCCATTGTCAAGGTGATTAGTCTTGTGATTCCAGGTGGTGGGCTGGTAGGCGGTCATGGGAGACTGATCACAGTAGGTGAGGGTAGATGGGTCTTGCGTTGCCAGGACACACATACTTAGAATAAAAGAGTGATTAGCACAAAATATACTTAAAAGTCACAAAACGACCAGGTGTGGTAGCTCACTCCTATAATCCCAGCACTTTGGCAGGTGGAGGCAAGAGAACTGCCTGAGCCTAGGGGTTCGAGACCAGCCTGGGCAACTTGGCGAGACCTCGTCTCTAAAATAAACCAAAAATTTGCCACGTATGGTGGCCCACGCCTATAGTTCCAGTTCCTTGGAAGCCTGAGGTGGAATTATCGCCTGAGGCCAGCAAGTCAGCTCAGTGGCCGTGAGCATGCCACTGCACTCCAGTCGGGTGGCAGAGTGAGACTCCAACTGGGGAAAAAGAAAAGTCACAAAACAATGATTAATAGCTATCTCAAGTGCACGAAGTTTGTCCTGGGTTAATGATCAGGGGGTGGGGTGTGTGGAGCACAGTAACTAACTTGCAAAGCATGGAGGGGAAAAAAAGAAGAAAAACCTCAATGAAAATGGCTGCACTTCAGCTAAGGCAACTCCATCTTGACTTTACTGACGTCACCCTTCCGTTTACCCATCTTGCTGTTTTAAATAGTCTTATTTGTAGCTTCTGTGACTGTTTCCTGCTGGATTGGGGCGTAGAGATGTCCCTATTTGCCTTCCTGTCTAAACAAGAAGAGTGGAACTCAGGGCAAAATCCATGGAACATTATTTCTTTTCTTTTTCTTTTTTTTGAGTCGGAGTCTCACTCTGTCGCCCAGACTGGAGTGCAGTGGCCGCTCCCGGCCACCGCAACCTCGACCTGCTGGGCTCCGGCCATCCTTCCGCCTCAGCCTTCCAAGGAGCTGGAACTACAGGGGCGCGCTACCACGCCCGGCTCATTTTTGATTTATTGTAGAGAGGAGGACTCACCAAGTTGCCCGGGCGGGTCTCGAACCCGCGGGCTCAGGCAATCCACTCACCTCAGCCTCCCAAGGCGGGGGATTACAGGCTGAGCCACCGAGCCCGGCTGCTGGAACATTATTTCTTTACTACACATGAAGCAATGTGCTAGTGCACAAGCAGATATGATTAAACACATGCTAATGTGTTTAGACTACTATGGCAGTTGAAATGATAACGGAAAGTTGAAAATGATTTTGTAGAATAAAAGTGTGTTCTGCTAAAGCTTTAATGCATTCGACATACTGGATTTACATCATTGATGGTTAGGACAGGCACGGTGGCTCATGCCTGTCATCCCAGCACTTTGAGAGACTGAGGTGAGAGGATTGCCTAAGCCCTCGGGTTCGAGACCAGCCTGGGCAACTTGGTGAGACCTCATCTCTACAATAAATCAAAAAAATTAGCTAGGTGTGGTGGTGCGAGCCTGTAGTTCCAGCTACCTGGAAGGCTGAGGTGGAAGGATCACCTGAGCCCAGCAGGTTGAGACTGCAGTGGCTAGGAGTGTGCCACCGTCCTCCAGCCTGGGCAACAGAGTGAGACCCCAACTCAAAAAAATATATATATGTTCTACTAAAGCTTCTAATGCATTCAACATACTGGATTTAGATCATTGATGGTTAGGCGAGGGACGGTGGCTCACGCCTGTCATCCCAGCACTTTGGGAGGCCGAGGTGAGAGGATTGCCTGAGCCTACGGGTTGGACACCAGCCATGGCAATTTGGCGAGACCTCATCTCTACAATAAATCAAAAATTTAGCCGGAAGTGGTGGCTGGCACCTGTAGTTCCAGCTACCTGGAAGGCTGAGGCGGAAGGATCGCCTGAGCTCAGCAGGTCGAGGCTGCGGTGGCCGGGAGCGTGCCACTGTCGTCCAGCCTGGGCAACAGAGTGAGACCCCAACTCAAAAAAATATATATATGTTCTGCTAAAGCGACTAATGCATTCAGCATATTGGATTGAAATCATCAATGGTGCCACAACAAACACCGCCTCCCACTCCACAGAGACCTGCCTTTGCCAGTAGAAAATTCAGCCCCGAGAAGCATGGCGGGGAGGCATGTGCGCGCTGGCACGGGAGGCTCGGCGGGCACTGCCAGAGTGCCAGGCTGCGGCCACGGTCACGGACGCCAGAGATGCCAACGGAAGAGTGGGAGGGACGGCATGCGATTAGTCGTCATGACCGTGAAGATTAAGTGCTGGAACGGCCTGGCCACTTGGCTCCGGGTGGCCGATGCTGAGAACCCTGGCATCTGCAGGGTGGCGTTTAATGGCTGCTGTCCGGACTGTCAGGTGCCCGGCGACAACTGCCCGCGGGGGTGGGCCAGTGCTCCCACTGTTTCCACATGCCCCGCATCCTCAAGTGGCCGCACGCGTGACAGGTGCACCTGCCCCAGGCGCCGCCAGGCGTGGACGTTCAAGGACTCAGGGTCCTGCCGCCAGTACTACGCTGGGCTCAGCCCCCACCCTCAGCCCGAGAGGACGTCCTGAGACCCACTCGTGGTGGGACCGGGTGGCCGCAGCAGCCTCCACTGGAGGTGGTCCCCTGGGCTGTGACAGGGTTGAGACGAGGACTGGAACTATACCGGTTTTTCCATCAGAATGCTGATGCTTTTATCCAATAAGCAAAACTCATTAAACTACCTGAACCTTGAATAAAGAAAAGAAAGGAAGAAAATTCAGCGCCCTGCGGTCAGTCATTACGTGCTGTCTGATTTCCCTTCTTTACTAAGACCTGGTCCTCGGGAGGTGTATTCTGCCGTAGAGTGGTCCCGGCATACGATAGCTTGGAGATCAGGAATGATATCCTCACAAATAGCAACTCCACCCAGCTGAGATCCTACCCTAGGAATCCATCCGTGCCCACGACAGCTCCCACGAAGTCTTGAGTCCAGAGCTGAATGTCTCCATGATTTGTGTCCATGTCTCCGTGAGTTCTATGGTGGAATTTGACCTTGAGTCCTGGGTATAAAATGCCCCTCCCCCTCAGGGAAGCCGGTCAGTTGCTTTAAGTTGGCTGCTATAATTAGCTAAGATGACAGTTCTGTTAAGGAATTGGGCAGTTTGGTTAAATTTTTTTTTTTTTTTTTTTTTTTTTTACTCAGAGTCTCGCTCTGTCACCCAAGCTGGAGTGCAGTGGCACGCTCATGGTCACTGCGGCCTTGACCTGCTGAGCTCCAGCGATCCTTCCATCTCAGCTTTCCAAGTAGCTGGAACCACAGGCGTGTGCCACCACGCTCAGCTCATTTTGGGGATTTATTGTAGAGACGAGGTCTCGCCATGTTGCTCAGGCTGGTCTCAAACCACTGAACTCAGGCAATCCTCTCACCTCCACCTCCCAAAGTGCTGGGATGACAGGAGTGAGCCACCGTGCCCGGCTAGGTTAAATTTTTGAAATGAATACACACCCCAGAAGCCAGTTCCCTTACTTCTGAGTTGGAACTGGGCTTCTCTATCATTTGGGGTACAGACTTTTTTTTTTTTTTTTTTTTGAGTTAGAGTCTCACTCTGTCGCCCAGACTGGAGTGCAGTGGCCGCTCCCGGCTACCGCAGCCTCGACCTGCTGGGCTCTGGCGATCCTTCCACCTCAGCCTTCCGAGTAGCTGGAAC